AGGCTTGGTTGACAAAATGCTATAAATGTGCTTCTAACACAACTCTATCATTTAAATTTTCATGGTTTTTTTTTCAATCTTTGTATGCATTAGATAACCTGTTTATTCAGCTATATATTAGAAAAAGAAATATTATAAATATTCATCACGAACCTGTTTATACTAAATATAATGATTTTATGGATGTATTTAACCATATGCTCTCAGAAAGAAAGAGAAGTCATCGGCCCGGCCCAACCGGTCTTAAAAGCTTTCTGGTCCAGCCCGGTTCAACTAAAAGCCTGGCCCGTGCCGCACTCTGGTTCAGAACCTACTAACGGAAAAAAGAGAAAGTGTGTAGGATACTTCTGGATTGAGGTAGCAAGCAAAAAAAGGAAAAAACTTTTGCATCACCCGTTACTCAGTGGTAGAAAATTTTCAATTTTATAAAATGTGTTCAGTGAGATACAGCTCTGTCAGATGCTTCACTACAAGAATTGTCAATATAATATCTTGATTTTTCAAGAGAAAATGAAATATAATACAATCAGAAAATTTCCAAACTACTAAGGTTTAAAATTTTTCTAGTACCGACCCTAGTGGTATTCCCGTTTCATTCTTGCTGAGATGTGATCGCGAACCCGAGTTTTTCCCGTGTAACGAAAAAAATGCTGATCTTGGCAAAGTAAAATCGCGATCTTATAATTGTAATCGCGTTCTTGATCAAGTTCATTATGCGATCTCGTTTCATTTGTGCGTCAAGAGTGTGACAGGATCGCGGCAGGATTATATCAAGATCGTGTCAAATTCGCGACAAGATCTTGAACAAATTTTTTCTTTGCCCACTGTTAAGAAATTTTTTTTATTATTATATCATTCTGTTCCTTAAACTCGTGAGTGAAAAAGTGCAAAATCAATCCTTGCACTAGATCACGCTGACCTCGTATTGTCCTCTATCTCAGTTTGTAACGATATAATGTTTTTTTATTCCGTCCGTCCTTCGATAGAAGGAGAAAAGCAAACAGATAGTGTGCGTATATTATCGTCCACTGTGTTTATTCTTTGTTCTCTTCTAACGTATATAATAGATATTGTGTGTAAAATTTAAGGGGGAAAAAGCAGTATTAATACTGAAAAAAATATGATACACATCAGAGTTGCCAGATGTTTAGGTCAGACGTGGAATAAAAAGGTGAAAAAGTGAAAGAAAAGCAGAAACGCATTTTTCACCAAACGCAAAGGGGTATCAAAAAAAATTTTTCTAGCGCTTTATGGTGGTTCCACTTAAGATGCAATACAAAACATCATTTAATTCCCAATTTGAATCGCTATTGGCTTTTTCAAGATGCGTGTTTTTGATCAGCCGTCATAAATTTCAAGAGTTATGCATGGCAGGGAAAAATTTAATACGAAACTTCTCCGCCTACAACAGCACTTAATAGTTAAGATTTTCTGACCGAGTTGCCTTCCTTGAAGATTTATTATTTCACTATTTTTCATACTCCCTTTCAGCAACATTTGAGACAAGCTAATGTTTTTCTGTCACTGCTCACTTCCGGAGCAAATTTCTGATTTAGTTCCTAAAACAGTGCAGATCTGTTTTTTAAAGTTGCAAAAGCATTGTTTTAACAGATCATTCAGCCGCCGAAGGCGTTAAACTTTTTATGAGAAAATGTAAAAATCTTCATCGCTGGAAATAGAACAAAAACAATAAATTCTCGAAAAGTGGGCAAATTGCGGACAGCGGACACTTTGCGGAAAAAACTACAGAAAGCGGAATTTGTCCGCAAACTCCGGACCATCTGGCAACTCTGGTACAAATACTCATCACATAGCCAAATACTGAAAAAGTCAAAACTAGTGTGAACTAAACGCTTATTATAGCATAGCTAGTCATATCAGAATGAAACTATGACAAGTTCGACTATAACAATTATTTTCCTGATAGCTTTTACAGTATCCTGTACATCGTATTCATTGCAGTAATACACAGTACAAAATAACCACCTTTTAGGAAAAATTGATTTTCTCCCGGATGAAAATAAATTGAATTAAAGAAAAGTAAATAGTCTTCACTCACAGCTGTCCAAAAACAAAACAAATTTTCTTTCAGGACTGAACCTAGTGGCTAAAACAGGCTTTTTCCCAAACCGAACCGTTCATGCAAAAGCCGCGTTCAGTGCAATGAGATCGCGAGACTTATCGAAGGTCCAATCTGACTCAAAATTATATCAGAATGTTCGGACTATGTCCTGTATCTACCGTGAATGCACAAAAATGCATAACTTTTCCCACACAGGTACGGGTTTTCCAAAAACGCTAGTTTTTGCGGTAAAATGCGTTTTTCTCAGCCTAGGAACATTTGTATAAAAAAATAATTTGATTTGTAGGATCATCATATAAAACTACATCGAATGATATATAACTTGTTCATTTTTGGAATAAAAAGTTTTTCGACAAAAATTTAGAGCAAGGTTTCCCCTCAGGGATTTTTCGTCTAAAAATTTATTTTTCGAATTTGGGTTGTTTTAATTTATAATAACATTTTAAACGTAATCAAGTACTACTGGGCAAAAATAGTCTCATTCTGAATTAAAAAAACCACATGTCCACCTGGTGTATGGAAAAATGCCGTCAGTGCAGCACGAGCTACATAACTTTAGAAGGATTTTCAGTATACAAGTCAAAATCGTCAGATATGTTTTCCCATCATGTCATAAAACCCTCTCCTCGCCACTCTCCTGTAAAACAAAAAAAACTTAAGAAAATGGGGGTCACTCTTATCGGCTTTCTACGCCTCTAACAATTTGGAGAAATACAGCTTTTTTTCATTGGACAAATGAGAAACGACGTCGTTTTTTGATATATCAAAAGTTACGGTGGTTCTGCGCCGAACAAAAATTATTTTGAAAAATCCGCACTCGTCGGAAAGAGCAGTTGTCCATTGTTTTTTTGGAAGCTGCCCGTGACCACGAACAGTAAGGGCATGAGAATTCGCAACCCCACGTCTTTTTTTTGTGCTGTTAACACCTATTTTTGTTAAATAGAAATATTCTCTTGTTTATATACAGAGAAATGAAAACAGGACAAAATTAGAATAAAGAAATGAGGCAGGCAAGAGCTCTTGCACAAATCGTCATAGCGCTGGATGACCGGCAAACTAGAAGGTATGACTGGCACAAATAATCATATACACCGGTCTTTGAAAATTTCGTGTTTTGTCACCTGTAGTTTTATTTCGTGAAAAAGAGGTTGTTACAATGAAAAAACAATTTTTTCATGTCCTGGTCTCAATATTTTTCAAGGGTTTATCTTTTTGCCTTCTGTTTCGAAGGAGATTAAGCCCTGAACTGAAAAAACCTTAGATAAGAATTAATATAAATATTTAAAACTACTAACTAACTGTAACAATCGAATTCAATTTGTTCTCTACGTCGATTTTGGGCTTTTATTACAGACCTGAATTTATTTCTCCACCTACAATGGATAGGAAAATTTTTGTTTGAAAAAGCGATATTTTTCTTAGTGTGATTTGAAGTTAGAAAATATTGACAAATACGAACAATATTTAATTCAAAATTAATAAATATTAGTTACAATACAGAAAGCATACATTTTGCTTTTAACGAAAACACCGAGTTTAATAAATAATGCTTTTTACGTATTTTTTTCTTGTTTGTACATTAAAACTTTGGCACAATACCAAAATAATATACTAAGATGACAGAAAAAAAATGAACAACAATAAAATGAGCGATATAAGTATCAGCGATGAGGATCGGCGATACGTTCTCTTTGTAAAACTAATACGAAAAGCATCCATTAATCAATCAAAATACACCAGTGGAATGGTATTGACATATATTATCGACAAATAAAAAGTAACGGTTTTGTGAGTGAAGTGAAATAGTGTCGATATTTTTTTTACACATATAAAAGACGAACACGTGACGTGCTCACTTCAAGTTGATCATCAAAGAACTTTGTTTCAATAACAACATTACCACTAAAATGCAGAAGAAGAGAAATGTAACATTCTTATCGTTTTGGTATATCACCAGCTTACCTCAATAAATTTGCCGGAATCATTTGAGATTCAGGCGCTGCTTCAATAAGCGACTCCCAGGTATTTGTAGATCCGGGAATAACAAATCCGAATGCGAATGCCCATTCTAAACAACACAAGAAATGTGCAAAGATAATAATCTTAAAAATTTCCTTCATCTATGTTACCTTCTATAACCTGATTTTTGAAGTAAACTTTCTGCTCTAAGCGGAAATGTTTCATTTCTTCTTGTGAAGAGAAATTAATTTCTCTTGATACAGCTCGGCACTTCAGTATGCGTCTTGGTACACGAGCTAGAAAAAATATCAAAAGAACCACAATCTTATAATACCCAAAAACAAGAAAAAACAAACCTTCATGTTCTGTGTCAGGTACGGATCTAAATGTTAATACATTTGTCAATTAGAAGTATTCTAACAGAGTACAAAAAATTTATAACTTACAGATCGTCTGCCGATTGCCATTGTACTTGACCTGAGTCAGCATCACGTAAGATCATTCCATGTCTAGTTATTGTTTAATATCAAGGAGAAATTAATTGAAATATTTTTTTTACTACGTTAGTATGTTGTATGTATAAAATAGACCTTCAACTCAAATACTATATATATCCTAAAGAACTGTTGATGTGTCTAAATAACTTTTACTACTAACTTATACTACTTTTACTAAGAACTATCCATATATTCTGTGATTCTAAGCGGAGCTAGTTTTCCCTAAAATTTGAGAGAACAACGATATAGCATCGATACATTATAACTGCAGGGCTCTATCAAATACAATCGTGTTCTAATATTAACAGTCCATGATTTATGAACATCATTCAGTAAATATCTTACTCTTAAACTTAAAACTAATAAGGATACAATTTAAATCCATTTACAATATCTCTTGCACGACTGGACATGTTTGATCGCGACATATTGTCGACTATACTCAGCAAATAAATAACAGAAATGCAGCAGACGCTTGGGAAGATCGCTAGTTATACTATGAGTTTGGGACAAACCCGCGGTATAGCGGAAGATATATTTTTTCGGTACTTTACCTCGTCAATTAATAACTTGCGTCATATTCTAAAAGGGTCAGTTGTACAACGAATGACAGAATGCCCTTTTCTTTTCTTTTCTATACGCATTCTCAATTTCGATTTCACTTGTTGCAATTACATTTCTTTTTTCCCACAGCCATAACTCCGTCGAATGTCTATAGTAACAGTTACAACTACACTCTTGATGACTAAAAATATTCAGTAAGAACATTATCTTTCAGCGAAGATTAGAGACGCTTCACGAAATTAAAATCACATAGTAATGTTATTTATTTTGAGTAAGTGCATAAGTGCACGAAGCATTTGATTGATGTAGGTTGGACCTATTAGTATAAGCCATATGTTCACCGTGCAACGAGGTAAATATACAAAAACGCTCGTCTATACTCGCTCTGTCTCTTGACTTTAGGAACTTAGGCCTCGTCGACACTATAAAAAAGTTCACGGAGCTTTAAGCAATCAATTCTATTGGCTAAAAGTTAGTTTAAGCCAATAGAATTGCTTAAAGCTCCTTTAACTTTAATAGTGTAGACAAGGCCTTATATTATATCTGCGAACGCCCCTCCATGACTTCTGAATCCAAGACAACGCTCACGCCTCCCTTCTGTCGACGTTCGCTAGGGGACTATCTAAAACATGTGAATTTTTCTTTGATTTAATTTGATGTGTACGATTCGTAATCCAATGTAAACCTAAAAAGTTTTCTCAAGATCCCCAGAGGTCTTAAAATATTTCCGAATTCAAGACAATGTTTATACCGCCCTTCGGTTGACATTCGTAGCCAGCATAGCTGAGAAATGTTGTGAATTTCTTCGATGCTACGGAAAAAGCGCGCAATGTAATATAAAGTTAAAGTTTTCTGAACATCCTCTGAAGATCCCAACGGGGCTGGAAGTACTTCTGATGAACTCTCTATGATAAATTATCTATAATCTTCAAAGTTTATTATTCGTATACGACTTTTTTGTGTTATTTTGTGTTATATTGTCGTCTCTTTGAATATTTTCTGTTTTTCTCCCTTATGGTTGACTTATCAATAGAATATCTGACAGCAATTTTCCGTATTTTGGGACAGACAGACAGTCGTTTTGTATAGTGGCGTAGCCAGGATTTTGTTAGTGGGTCGGCGTTGCCCCAAATTTTTTCGGAGAGGCAGACATTAGCGCAGAGTAGTGTGAATTATAAAACTTTTAGTAAATGGGCTGAGCCCATCCGGTGGCTACGCCACTAGTTTTGTAAGATCCTAGACTAAAAGTCAAGGGAATATACTTCGCTACAAAATCAACATTATAGTGACGTGAAATAGGTTCTAAGGCTAATTGGTTTGTCACTAATTAGTCTGAAAGAAATTTCATTGGGTTTCACATACTTGAAAAAAGCTTACTTCGTCAAAACAAAATATTCAATGAGAAGAAAGTTCGATTGTTATCAGACTGGTTGAAAATATAGACTTTGACTAAATTCTCTCAAATATATTTTTTGTCAATAATTCTGCTCTACCGGACTCCACTGGATTAGACTAAGACTAAGACTAAGATTGTTTATTCACGAAAAGTGAGAGTCATCAAAGGTCACCGACCTGTAGTAACAATGACTCAAGCCAAACAACACCAAAATAGTAATAAAAAAATAACAAAATAGAGAAGACAACTAAGATTAGAACCAGAAGTAGTAAATAAAACACAAAAATTTTTAAAAATAAAACAAAAGACAAAAAAGAACAAGCATAAATGCTTAACTGACAAGCGTTTCACTGGAAGAGATACTGAAGTAAGGCTGTTTTGAAAGACATAAAAGAAGAAAGACAAATAACTGACTCTGAAAGATTATTTCAATCAGTAATAGTTGAATAAAAAAATGAAGAATGCACCGTTTGTGGAGAAAAACCATCAACAAAATTAAGACCATGTTCAGTACGGATAAGAAAAGAGCGCATCCTACTATGAAATATTTGGATGAAGAGAGAGAGATTCTACGAGACGATTTCTGTAGCATTTGATAAAAATTTAATTTTCTGCTCTTTGACTTTTATATGTTACATTGTTTCCTCGCTTTTCTTCGTCTCACGCGGCAATTACTGCGGATAACAAGGATCATAACAGCAATATTCGTTTGACTGTAATCTTTAGATGAGTGTGTAGAATATCAGTGTGTCCATTGCGTAGAAAAAACCAAATATTCTTATCTTTCTCTCCCTCGCGTTTTAGATGATACTTGCCGTTCTCTCAAAAGTGATAATATGGCTTCTTCTCACAAGTCAATGCTATTCAGCTGGCATTTCTGATAATATTGTATATGCTATTAATTGTGGTGGTGATGCTCATACAGATGCGCATGGTAAGATAATTTTCGGTCGTGTTATTCATCTATCATCCACAATTTTTATGTTCATTTCAATAGGAATCAAATATCGAAAAGATAATCTCAAAGCCGGTATAACATCGGACTATGGTAGAAATATTCCCATACAGCGTGTGCCAAAAGAAGATCAAATTATCTATCAAACAGAACGGTATGATCTTAAGTCGTTTGCATATGAATTAGACGTAATCGATGATGGAGATTATGTACTGTGGCTAAAGTTTGCCGAAGTTTGGTTTAATGCTCCCAATATGAAAGTTCGTATTATTATTATTATTACGTTTTTGAACTAGTCATGAGCCATATTCTGCTTGACAGGTGTTTGAAGTTATATTGAATGATGAACATACAGTCATTGAAGATTTAGATATTTTTACAAAAGTCGGACGAGGAACAGCTCACGACGAATATGTAAGTGTACTATGATAGTCTCAATTGAACTTACCTTCCAGTAATCATGATGATTTCGATTCAGATTCCATTTCAAATAAAGAATGGTCGACTTGTAGTTAGAGGAAAAAGTTCAAGTTACAATGGAAAGTTGAAAATCGAATTTCAACGGGTAAGATACAAAAAAGGAGGCATTAATACGGGAATGATCTTAGAATTTTTTTTTCATTTTAGTTGGATCGAGATAATCCTAAATGTAATGCTCTTATAATATGGAAAGGAAACATCGAACAGATACCAAAGTTACCGCCGATGCCACAAGCCGAAACTTTAGATGATACAGTGGATCAAGATGAAAATGAAGAACCACCGCCAATAGCAACAAAGCAAAAACGTCATTTAAAAACATCAGGACCCAAAGTGCCCGATCCGTACACTGAAGATCAATCGAGCTCACTGATACCACTGTTTATTGCTGTTGGAGCTGTTGTTCCTGTTATATTTTGTTTATGTCGTTTATAGAATAGTTCTACTAAACGACAATAACGACTTTTGGTTAGAACAACATTACCGTCCAAAATGAACAGTTTCTCTATGTGAGTCTAGGTTTTTTCTGTCCCATAGATAATTCTTCTTCATTGGATAACACTTTTGTTTCTTACTCGTTTGATATTTAAGAAGCCAGTTAAACTACGCACGAAGATAAAGGGTAATCCAAAAGTTTAGGTACCTTAGAAAAACATGTTCTAAAATTCTTTCATACTTACTGTCGGTGCCATATCAATCAACGTATCTTTCTTACAGAGACAGCTACAACCATGAAATTATATACTAATAATGTTATAGTGATAAACATTTATTTGCTATAGTTTGAGCTTTTTTACACTGACAGTAGGAAAGAAACTTAACTTTTTTCTAAGATACCTAAACTTTTGGATCACTCTTTAGCTTTTACTCGCTTATGATGACCACAGTATGGAGAATGTTAGGAAAAGGTCTGACAAGGATAAAGTGCTTTCTCTAAGTCAATAAAATAGTTTCCAGTTTACCTATTCATACTCGATTGCTGGCTACGTTTTTTTTCATTAATGAAACCAGCACTATCATCTGTGATGAATTTTGTTTTCAATTGTTCTCTCACATTATTCTTATTTGTGTTGTATATGTTTTATTTGTATTTCGTATTTTTATTATTTTGTGTATTATCTCAACGTGCTCAGTTTTGTTCTTTATAGGTAAAAATATATTGTTAAAAACAGCATAGCGTAACATATTCAAATGTGTTTTTTTTTTCTCAGTCACATGGTTTTATGTTTATTTTCGTTTAATAGATAATAAAAAATGTTTTTTGTATGAATTAGACTCGACTTAACCCATCTGCTTTCGACATAACAACAGCCCACGGATTTTGTGGTGCTACACTAGGATGTTGCAAATGTTTATGTACAATAGTGATGGCTTTTTCCTGCGAACGTGTTTTACCAAGTGTGATAAGAATGTTTAAAACATCATTTGTACAATTATCATTATCATAGATATCTAACTGTTTTAAATGTAAGCATTTTGATACTAGCTGTATAATAGC